CTTTGATCTTCCTCTAAAATCACTAATGAGAAGTTTGTGGTCAGATTGACCACTTTAATTAGCTGTGTAAGGCTTGGTGCTTTGTTTTTGTTTGCTTAGTTTGCCATTTTTCAGTTAACATTTGCAGCAAAATTCTTCATTTTAACAGGCTATGACTCAACAGCCATGCTAACGCTTCTGTAAGACTTGAGTTACTCAGCAGTGCTTTGAACTCATCAGCATGCAAACATTCTTATAATGGCAACGCTAACATGCTGATGTTTAGCAGGTATAACGTTTAGTGTGTTCACCATCTTAGTTTAGAGTGTTAGCTTGCTAACATTTGCTAATTAGCACTAAAGACAAAATACAGCTGAGGCTGGTGGGAATGTCATTAGTTTTACAAGTATTTGATCATAAACGTAGTTTAAATTTGATTTGACCTGATGATGGCCCATAAAAGTTGGCACAATTCATCCTGATGAATGTCTGTTTTAAATGTAATGGCAATCCATCCTACAGCTCACTCAAAACCACAAATGTCAGCCTCATTATGGAGCTAGAGAAAAAGTCACGGGATTCATCATCAGGGGACCATGAACATTCCTAAAATTTAGTGCAAATCCATCAAGTAGATGTTGATATATTTTATTGCGTAAGTGAAAACTTTGATCTGCTATTAGCGCAAGGGAAAGGTCAGGGGATCACCAAAGTTATTATGATTCATCCTCTGGGGACCATGAATGACTTGAAAAAATATCATAACAATTTATTCACCTTTGATCATTTTTCCCGAGAGCATCTACCAGAAGCAACTGTGTTGTACAGCACAGGTACGCTGAATTTGGCCAGTCAGTTTTCTCCATTAGAGCTGCAAACTTTTGTAACACAGTACTCAGCACTATCAGACAATGCTCAACTCTCTCTAGTTTTAAATCTTAATTGTAAGTAAGTAAGTAATTTTTTTGTATGATGTAACATTTTAAGTGTAAAGTGCTTTAAGTTTTGAATGATGCAACGTTCGTTCTCGGTATCTCTGTTTCAACTTTAACATAATAAGCCATAATTCCTTTATTGATTTGCCTGCCCAGGGACTGCTTGTGAAATTTAGATATTTAGCTAAATCTTGGTTGTAATAAACAAACAAAATTTAAAAAATAAGCAAACCAGAAGCCTTAATTTAGTTTAGTTAGTAAAGTTTTCCAGTTTTATCACTAAGACACTGTGCCCAAGTTGAGTGTCTTTATATTGCTGCACACATTCTGTTACGCTCTGTTTACTGTCAATCACCAAACACCCACAAGAAGAAAGGCAAGCCTCTGCCAGGAAATAATCCCTCAAGAACGTGTCGCCTTACAAACTTTAGAGTCTTTGTTAGCTGGAAAAGTGGAAAATGTGAAAAAGCTTAGTGTAATATTTCATGAAGGCCAAAAAGGCGAAATTGATGAGGCAGGTGTCTGGAAAAAATGTTGCTTTGAGGAAAATCATCTTTATCATAAGTTGCTGTTGCTCTTCATCGTATTAACTCTGTTGGAGTGGCTCAGAGAACGAGAATGCAAGAGCTCTTGTGATTAACTAGGTTGCATTACTGAGTAGTGAGGTAGAACGTCCGTTTATCCTCAAGGGCAAGGCCGGGGTCGTCAGGTGCAGCCATGTGTTAAATCTGACAAGCCACGAGAAGGAAACCTGCTCTGGACAAAAACAAGAGCTCGACTCATAAAACCATCTTTCTGTCTTCTCATATATGGAGAGACCTGCAGTTGTGTCAAGGCACAGAAACACAAGCAATAGGCACAAGTCTGCGTCATTAGACTGTACTATAAGCTTTCATGGTTCAGCGGGCAGAGGAAGGGTTGAGCAGAGACCACGCTAAGTATGTCTTTGAATGCTGTTGAGTGGTTCTAAAACGTCTAAAAGCAGGTCAAAGGGAAGTACATAAAAGTATATCTTCTCTTTTGTTGTTCAGTGGAACCAATAAAAGGTTAAACTAAAACCTGGTCCGAGAGGTCTTTGTCATGCCCAGTGTCTTCTATTGTCAATATTATTCTGATTTGTAACTTTTCTTGTTTTTAATTCTTTTTTTTACATCATGTAATTGCATTGTCAAGTTTTTGTGCAGTTACCATTTAAAGTTATCATGTCATTCCTTTTTGTGATATGTTGATATTACAGTAAAAGAAAAAAATATATAGAGCTGTAGTTGGCATGTAACTCTATGTATACATGTGCACTTGCAAACATATCTGTGCATACTGTTTCCATGCATGCATATGTATATATGTGTGGTGTACTTTATTTATTTTACGCATTGTTTTCATCTGTCTGTTAAACTGCATATGATTGTGTAGCATATACGTTGGATTACAGAAGATAAGGTTTTGACTCAAGGAGGTGTTGAAAAGGCAAATAATGAGACTGAGGCCGATAATTATATTTGGTGTTGGTACCATATATTATGTGGAAACAAGGACAAAAAAAAACAACAATAACAATACCCAAAATATTTACAATCTGCAGAAACGTTGGTTTTGATTAAGTGCACTTGAGGAAATTTAGTTCCGTTGACTCAGTAGTTCACAGAAACAATAAACAAAATACAGCAATCAAATTGAGGAGTACTCAATTCCCAATTCCCGCAGATATTTGACACACCGCGGCACCAGTCGGCTTCTAAAGACCACGGTAGCGGGCACGAGTGCAGCTGCTCCGGTGGCTTCCCCCTCACACTCCTGATTGGGGAAACTCACCTCAGCTTGTAAAACGCGCTCGAGCGCTATGATAGGTTGAAAGCGTTCACTGAAACTACCATGTGACTCAAGGGTGTGTCTGGTGGTGTGTTCAGGTGATTTTAACCTGGGTTACAATTGCAAGACTAAGCGTTTACAGCCTCACTGTTGGCTCTGTGAGGCTGTACTTGCTGTAAATGCTAAGATCCGCATGCTAACATGCTCGCAATGTCACAATGCTACCATGTTCACCGTCTTAGCGTAGTGTGTTACCAAGCTAGCATTTGCTAATTAGCGCCAAAAATAAGTGCAGCTGAGGTTGAAGAGCGTGCCATTAGTTTTGCAGGCATATGCTCATAAACTAAAGTATTTTTAAGGTAAATAAAAATGTTTAGCTTAAGTTGGGGCTACATGAAAAGTTAAGGGATCACCATAGTTGTTACAATTAATCTTAAAGGGGGCCTTGAAAGTTTGTGTAAAATGGCATGGCAATCCATCCCGTTGCAATTGCCATTTGCATTGCCTCTGGCTCCGGCTGAAAAGGCATGACATCCAGTGTTTCGGGGTCCCTGTTGTGATTAAATTAATTATTTCTGTGGGATTGCAATGGAAATCACTGCGGCCTATAGGTCACATTTCACTTTTCAAAGGTGGAGTGGACCTGGATGCAAAGGTCAGCTGTCAGAAAGCCTTTATCCTCTCAAACCAACTGGTGGCCTGTTTGACCGTGACTGACTGCAGCGGACTACACCAAGACTTGAACTGTATGTGCTGCTTAAAAACAGACCACTGAAGAGTAAGAATTGCTCTCTTTTTTTAGTCATAGTTTTACTTTCTAAATGATGGAAAAAAAGTGGGTTTATTTGTGTTTAACTCACATTTTTACAGCAAACTCTTCAGTATCCAATGCTGTTTAGAAAGTAAAATCTCATGCTTCGCTCTTTGTTTATGATAAGATATTATTGATTCTTCAGAGAATACTGCATATTGTAGCAAAGGCCAAATATTGACTTGAGATAATCCTATGAAAAGAAAAGCACATACCGTTGTGATGTGATGAGTGGAAGCTGCGTAATTCAGTTTTACAACAGTACAGTAAGGAAGAGGTATAAATAACTGCTTCCAAATATAGAACAACATTTGAACTTCCTCTCAAATTCCTGACATAAGTTGCTATCATCATAGCCGTTTTGCCTCTCTAAAAACCCACTGCAGATTAAAAGGCCAGACTTGCCCTCCCCCCATGAGGTCCTTGTCACTCTGCACATCCGTGCAACTGTGCCCAGCATCTGTCTTCCTTGTCATATTAAAGTAAACTGACGCTTTGGCAACACCCCAAAATAAAAGTGATGGTAACGGGGGGAAAAAACAGACGAAGTGAGAACGGAAAGGAGCCTAGACGTGGCCCCGGCTGCTCTCCACTGCTGAAATAATTAGCCCCTGGTTGATGTGGACTCCTCGTGGGACTCCACTGTGACATGTTCAAATGAGTATTGGCAGTGTGCGACACCAGCTGTGGGCCTCCTACAGGGAGCTGCTCTACTGTGCAGCGCTCTGCCCACCGAGCACCGACACAAACCCCTTTAAACTCTGAAGAGCAGGAGCAGCAGCCTTGAGCTGCAGGGGTTTAAAGGAAGCAACTGTTAAATGTGATATTTTAACTTTTTATGTCAGGTGTTTCAGGCAGAGATGTGATCTATCCACACCCAAATCCACGAGGCTGGGGCACAGATGGGAGTGCCACCCAAAGGGGCCTCAGACATGAGGTGAGGTAGGGGGTCACCAGGGATTATTCAGACCCATGCTGCAGTAGAAATGTAAGTTGCAACCACACCCGTGTCAATTACAATAAACCAGCCATTGTGTGGAAATTCCCACTGTACCCCAGGCACCAATTTGGCAACCCCTGTTGGGAAGGCGCAGGACTGGCAACCCACCGAATCCAAGATGGGGACTACCACACCCAGAGTTATCTTTTCAGGCATCGCCTTTGCTCAGTTATTGCACTTTTTAAATGGTAAAGCAGCTCCCAGTCGCAGTCTATGCTGCACATCATTTGTAATGACTATTTTCAGCCCATAAACTTGATTATTACAGCACAAAAACATGATAATGTAGATATTTTTAGTTATATTATTAATAAGTACTATTTGAAGTGGATATGTCGTATCACCTGAAAAAACAAAGCCTTCAGAGCAGGCAAGGCAGATGGGTGTACAAACAGCTGCTCAATAGTCCCTCTTTGTGGTCAAAAATGATGGCAAATATGAAATTAACACTTGGAGGAATACAAGCTTAATTATTAGAGACTATTTATTGAAATGTTTACATATCTTCATTGGAACAATTATAAATATAGGAGTATAACTGATTAACAAACAGATGGCACAAGAAATTCCAAAGTATATCATAAATAGTGATCTGAAAGTAAAAGTGCAAAACCATAAATGGTTTCATGTTGAAGAATGAAGGCATTCTTCATATGCAGGAAGAAATGAAATGTAGAGTGTGTGATGGTAACAGTGTCAGAGGTATTCTACTAGATATTAGGGAACAACACTGAAGTGTAAGACAAGTGCAAGTGGAGGGAAATGCGTCAGTGTCTGGTGTCCATGTGTGCAGAGGCTTTGGGTTGCAGGACGTAAAACCTCTTCTGGATCAAGCTCCATCTTCAGTTTCTCACAGGTGTGCTGTTTCCTTTGACCGTCTTCTTCAGGTGGTGATAGTTGGGCAGAATCTTCATGAGGAAGTCGAGCTGCAGAGTCTGAGGCTGCGAAACAAAGAAAGTGAAAACGACTCCGTCTGTCCGTGCACAAAAGGCGACAAAACGTCTGAGCAGCGGCGGAGACTCACCTGGGGCTTTTCGCTCTGCACGCGCCTGATGCAGTTTGAGCCGTACACGACAGTGTTCTCCAGCACGACCTCACACGTGTTGACCTGGCAGCACGCGCCAATGATGCATCCACCGGTCAGGATCACATTTCTCCCAAGATCAGCTGGGATTGAACGAAGCAAAAAAGGTGTATTTTTATTACACTGTATTAATATGGAAAACAGGGTTGGGGAACATGATGATATTCACTGTCAGATGATACAAATGGATCAAATTTGCAATACTCTTTACATCGGTATCCATCCCTTTATTTCTCTGGGTAATTTAGATGATAGTGCGCAATGTTGCAAATCAATGAGGTCATGGTGTACCTTCATTAGGGTATTAAATTAGCTGTGTTATCCAATAGCAACCATTCTTGACTGGTTATTTCATCAATAAACAAATTCTCTATTTGATTAACTATATCATGATATCGATACTGACATATAATAGATAATAGAAGGTTTTATCCATGTTGCACACTCCAAATAGGAACAAATTAAGTGATTACAGTACTTGCCTTTAGACTCAATCACATTGTTGTCTCCAATTTTCAAAGCTTGAGAGACTGCACCAGAACCGTAAAGGATATCAAATGAATTAGCATTTTAAAACAGTTCATAGTCACTGAAAACTATAGCCTGACATATATATAAACATATAATGTCTTCAAAAGTATGAGATATGCACTGAGAGGGACTTTTTACAGCTGAAATAAACTTGCCAGTGCTCTCTGGTGGACAAACTATATACTGGCACCATTTTTTCTTACTTATTGGCTGACATAGATTATCTATTTGCAGTAAGATGCTTATATATTGTTATTTGCATGTAAAGGATACCACATCCAACTTCGAACACATTATTGGCCCCAATTGTCATGGTTTTTGGCTCAACTCCCTCTGTGTCTGGCATGATATTCTCTGGATAACTACAGGGGGGAAAACACATACTGTACGTCAGATAAGGTGAAAATGTGATGCTCAAATAGGGAAATGAAGTTGTAATACACACAATACCTGTTAATAATAAGTGCCTGCTCCTCTATCAGGTTCCCCTCTCCAATGATAATCGGCCCTGCTTCTGCTATGATCCGGGCTTTAGGGTGGACAACTGTTCTAGCACCTGTAAACATCAAAAAGAAAGGTCTCATCTTGTTAAAAAAATAATAAATAATTGTGTTTTATTTTAAAATGGAGCTTAAGTGAAGTTAAATGTAAATTCTCACCAATGGTCACATCTCCTCTTATTTCACTCTCCACACACACAACAGCTCCAGCTGCAATTTTAGCACTGCAAGAACACACAGAGATAATATAACACAATATTCAAGTATAAGTGACGCACCGTTGCAATAAAAGCAACATCACAGGCAGAATAACAGGCATTTACAATGTCGATAATTAAAGTATCTCTGTAATTACTGTCTAGCCGACCTATAATTATTGGTGTACCATCAGTGATCTAACAGGATTATGAAAAGATGAAACAACACTTCCTAAAATTGTTCACAACATGATAACATAATATAAAAGCTTAAGGCCGATCAAATGCAGCCAGCTACCTTTTCTGTGCCGTGATTTGCCTGGCGTCTGACATCCTTGCGATGATGAATAAATGTATCGATGATAGATTATTAATCCTAGTTCATAGTTGGCGGCGCTCAGCAGTTGATTGCGTTTGTCTGGAAAAAGCCAGCCTGACGCTTTGCTGCCCTCTACTGTACTGGAATAAACGGGTGTCGATATGTTGAAAATAACCCAACCTGTCCACGCTGTCTGTTTGTTTTTTTAAAATCTTGATCCAAATACTTAATATTCAGAAGCTACGAAAATGATCAAAATATATTGTATGTTTTACCAACCCATTTTCTTCCATCTTATATTCTTTTGCACCACAAAAATGTCTTCTGTTAATATACTGTATATTGATCTGCCAGTTACTAAACTAGTTATCTAAATAAATAAATGAAGTTAAATGTAATGAGAATTAAACTGGATCTCAAGCCTTGAATATGCGGAGCTGGGAAGTAACCTACATTAACTTCAGTAGGCTACTGTACTTGTACTTTACTTAAGTATCTCTAAGTATATTTCAGAGGGAAATATTGAACTTTTCTCTCCACTGTATTTATTGGACAGCTTTACTACTTTACAGACTAAGATTACTACAGTATCATTAACAAATAAATTGTTGGTGTATGTAACGTAATTAAAATGTGCTCCACCTTTACCAGCCGCAATATTAAAGTGATGAGCACATTCATGCATCAATAACTATAATTCAATAATCTAATATATATGATTCTGAAATGGGCCATTCTGCATAATAGGACTTAGATTTTTGGTAGGCCTACTTTAAGTCTGTTTTGATGCTAATCCACATTACCTCACTTGGCTACTATTTTTACTCAAATAAAAGATCTGAGTACAGTGTACAAGAGGAACAGACTGGATTCTGTGTCAAGGTGAATGACAGAGCTACATTGTTTAACATCAGGTTATGTTTCTTGTTTTGCTTGTTTTTGAGTTTTTCTTTAAAAGCCATTTTTTGGGGTCTTCTCTCAGTATCTCGACTACTGTCATAAAAATGTAAGAATTTTGTGTTTTCACAAATTTATCATTGGACTTTAGGATCTGATGGTCTATCTCGCTTTTTGCATTGTCGCCATGTTGCCTGCAGGGTGCATCAACTACCAATGAAAACCGACAGAGCTGTAGAAGAAGCCAGTTACATTTACAGTATGTGCTGTTGGAGGAAAATCATACTGCTTTATAATTCCTCCAGAGAAAGAATTTGTAAGTTTCTCGTGGTAGCAGCTATACAGTTACTAAGAATTGGTTTATTTTTATTTAATGATGATTCAAATGAACCAGCAGCCTATTTTGCCACCAAAATTAGTCAATAACAGTCAGTCTGGAAGTTTTCCTCTGATGTGACAATAAAAGTAACCCGCGTTGCTGCTAATGGTCGCACACTCGTGTTTGAAATGGTTGTTTTAACCATGGGATTTGAATTGTGTAAAGTCAATTGAAGTTACTATGATGAAACAGGAAATTACAAATATCCAGATTTCAGAATAAAATGTAAACTTTGCAGTACGTGACAACGAAAATACCTAATTAGCGTACCACTTACTACACGCCTTGAATATGTGTTGACACACAATGTATAGTCTTGTATTAAATGTATTTCTTCATCCTGTTCAACTGGGTAGACAAGATCTTTTTTTAATACTTGTCTCATTATACCGAACCTGTTGATGTGAAATCTGACCACACAAAAGAGCACCAGATAGCCCCTGGGATTCTTGCTGATTATATTGGATATTAAGTGTTCCTCGGGACTTTGTGGGACTGTAAAGACTGTACTTGACTGAAGTGAAAAACTTGACTATTGTTTACAACATGTAGGCCTACTTAACTTGTGTATTCCTGAAGTATTTTTTTCTTTTGATTGAATTTTAAGTGATTGGAGTTAACTGAATTCGAGTCTGTTAAAATTAGCTCTGTGTCAACCATAACATTAAAATGTTTCTTACAATCTGAATCTATTAATTATAATGGAAAAAGTGGTAATATAATACTTACGGGACCTGCAAAAGTACATTTTGTTGCTAATAGGCTACTTCTGTGCTTATATTGCAAAACTGCGACTATAGGCCTTTTACTTGTAATGAGTACCTTTATTGTCTGATTTTTGTGCCTTTAAGTAATCTAAGTACTTCTTCCCCTGCTGATTCCAGTGTAGCTCCACCCTGCATCAGCCTGAGCAGAAGTCTAATCAGCCAGAATAAATGGAAACACCTGTGTAGGTTAACTGTGCAGGCCCAAAGCAGGAATTACTACAGTGTAAAAATACTCTATTCAAGTAAAAGTCCAAAAGTAAGTAAGATTCAAGTATATTCTTTGTATTAACATCAGAATATACTGAAAGTACCAAAAGTAGGCTAATCTACGAAGTAACTGGTGACAAAAACTGTCAAATAAATATGGAGAGAAATTGTACAAAAAGTATACAGTAGCATGAAACGAAAATACTCAAGTAAAGTGGGGGAGTAAATGTAGGATACTTAATTACATTCCGCCACTGTTTAAAACAACAACGATCCAGAAGAAAAATAATAGACCCTTCTGCTCAGTTTCTTGACCTTTATTTTGAAATACACGACCGGAAGTATATTTCCTCATTCTATCTGACTTTCCGGCGGCTGAGTTTTGAAGGAGGGCGACTCGTCTTAGCGGCTCCTCGGACGGGATCACCTGAGCCCTCCTATCTCAATTAGACGGGAGCCAGTTTGCGCTGCAGTTACGGTTCGTAGTACGGCTTAAAAATACCACGAAAGTATAGTTAATATGTAAGATTAAAAATAATCCCTCATGCCTTAAACCCCCAATACATGGGATATATGAATTTTTTTTTCTGAATGGGAGTGAAGAAGTGCAGCTAGCTCGCGCGGCCGGGCTGAATCTCGTGCGTTTGCCTTTTTTGAACTTCTTGGAAATATGTAACTGACGGATGAGACTTTAACATGGAGCAGTCGGCAACTCTCGACATAGAGACGCTGAAGGTAAGCAAACAACGGCGGGAAGAAAGTGCGTGTTTGATTATAATTTTAATTGAAACAGACACGTTTGTAATTTTGGGTAATAGTTTGACATGAACATCCCACAATGCAACGGGAAAGTGAGTTTTATTAACCTTGCTTTACAGGAGTACTTATAACTAGGCTAGTTATGAATTATTTATCTAGGTATTATATTGTTGTTTTATTCAGCAGCCCAAACTCAAGTTTCTCATGAGTCCTCTCTGCAACAGGTGCACTTCAGTTGTTCCATTCAAAATCCCAGCTAGGCCTAATTAAAGATGAATAAAACTGTTCGCAGGTCAGTTTACATTCTTGCAGTGGTTGCATCTCTTTCCAGACAGGAACATGACGACGAATAACCACTAACCAGCGCTCACACACCTCAGGAAGCCTACCTGGAGTTCTTCACATGTCTGCCTCTCGCTCTATATCTCATATCATATGCATTCTCCTCTTCAAGAATCACAGTAATGTGACAGCCTATGAATATTCTGCCTGCATGGTTTCTCATTATCATTCCAGTCTAGCAGGGAAGGCAGTAACCCCTGGGTACAGTATGTGCAACTCGTCTCCATGCTGCAGTGCAAGAAGAAGGGGGAAAAAAAAAAAAAGCAGCTCGGTGTCAGAAACCCACACAGCAGAGCTACTGTTTGGCTGTGCACTCAAGTCCATCCATTGGTGCACACACACACACGTAAAAATACACACACACACACACACATACACACAGCTCTGGGCGTAGTGGTTGGGTCACGCTTATCAGTCAAGAAATCACTCCTGCTCACACTGGCTTGAGCTGATCCAGCACTTCCCGCTTTAGTGACAAGTCTGCAAGTTCCAGCTAATTTGTCATGTTTACTGTGCTCTGTTTGAGTCCAGGACGGTGATTTAAAAGAATCCACTATCTTCTCTAATTAACACATGCTTTGTTTAGGATGCATTGTGGCTTTATTATTTGTTTAATTTGATAATGCTGCAAATCAATCTGCCCCCCCCCCCCCCCAACTGATGAATGCAAATGACGCCTATGGGGTGCTGTCCAAAATGGCCTTGTTGGCTCTCCGAGGATTTGCCTAAGGATTAGCAAGGAAAGCTAGTGTACTGTAGAGAAGTGGGGGGGGACAGAGCTGCAAACATTTGAGATACAAACAAAACCAGCTCGAAACGTTAATAAATGATGCAAAGGTCAGATGTGCGGCATGCCAACAGGTGTTTGTTGTCCACTTTTTTTGATTTGCCGAGTGCAAATATTTTTTCATGAAAGTGTCATCAAAAGCTGAGCAATGTGAAACAGCTAGAGGAAATTCTCTCTGAAGGCCCCTCTTCAAACACTCTGCCATGTTCCGCCTTGTTGGCTCGCATGCTCTGATTGAACAGCCGTGACCTTTTCATTGTGCCGGACTTATTGGAGATCTTTGATCCCCCCCCCCCACCCCCCACCCTGCCGGTGTTGCGCTTACAGTGGGGTTACCTTGTAGCTTTTGTTTGAAAGAAGTGCACTGCCACGGCACCAATCCATAAAGAGCGACAACCACACAGCAAAAATCCGTTGATGAGCTCCACTTCTATTGTAACTCCACCGGAGATGATGGAGCCACAAAAATTGGATTTCACATCCAAGAGGAGCGGCTATTGACAGCATCAGCACCCACACGCTTGATTGTCACATCAACCAAAAGTGAAGTGGTTACATCTTGCACGTTTGAGAAGTATAATTGGCTTTCCCAGTTAACAGTCGTGCATTCAGGCTCCTCTGTCTCTTTGATTGGGCTTAATGAATAAGGTGCATTAATACTGTATGTCAGACTTGTAGCGAGATCCCTTTTCTCCACTGCTGCCTCGGCGATTGTGCACCGCTCGTTCGCAGGACGGATGAGTACGAGCCACGCAGTCATTAGTGTGTCTCGAATGCTTTCTCACCTCCAGCTGAGGCGGCCCTGTGGGACTCCTGTGGCGACGCAGAGTGAGAGAATGTTTGCAGATTTGCTGATTAACATTATCAAGCATTAATAACATCTCATTTTCTTTCATTAGGTGCTCCTCAGCTGCATTTTGCTGCCTCTGCAGCGTGTCGCGGTTTGATCCAAACAGCATGTAGAATAGCACCCTCTACGCTAATTGGTGAAGATGAGGTGTGCTGGCGGTGGGAAGGGACTGCTTGGTAATTGCTGGCTTTGGCTGGATCCAGCTGTAATGTCTGTTGTCAAAGCTCTGTGGGAGCCCCAGCAAAAAAGAAAGTGACAGGAACCTGGAAAGGTATTGATGAAGTAGCATATATAATGATAATATGGGCGTGCAACAAATCCACAAGGACTTTTGCGGCGCAGCGCATGATCTACAGGATACATAATCACAGAGAGAAGTAACATGTTTCCCTTGTCAGTGTTTGTATAAACTTTATCTAATGTGTGGTTTGTAATGGACTGGTGCAGAAACGGTGACGGTGTTTCCCACTCTTGGCTCACATTTTCCATGTTGGCTGTCAGTGGCCAAGTCACAATAACATGTGGTTTTACTGAATAATTAAGAAAATATGATTTCTTGATAAGTATACCTAAATAAACCTCACTTCTTAACTGGCCACTCTCTGCTGTCTCAGAAGAGACACCTTTTGTGCCGCGTCAGCCACCGTAGCTGTCCTATGCTCTTTGAGAGGGTAGGGGGCCGTGGTAGACTGGACAGTTGGTTGCAATTCACAACCCTCACCACTAGATGCCACTAAATCTTACACACTGAACCTCTAACCACCTATGTAGAGAACCTACATGTAGCCTAATCAGGACTGTAGGCGGTAAATCCATCCATAGATTTCAGATCCATTTGTGATAATCTGTTGACATTTCTCTCAAGCATACTAGAACCTATTTTGATAATTTAATCATAGATGGAGCTGCACGACCGTGCCTAAACATGGCTTGCAAGGATTGCAGACAGAAGAATTGTTGGATTGGAAACAATGGTCGCAGTGTGGAGAGAGAGACTTCAGACGTTCTGTGATGGGAAGCTTGAGCGTTGAACCTTTTAGTCCCAGATTCCTAATTGTGCGCATATTCACGTTGTTATGTAGGGCTGGACAGTTAATTGAAAAGTAATCGAAACCGAAATTCAGACCCCTAACCGACGTAATTTCTCCATGTCGGTTGTTTCGATTATTTGAGGTAGGCCGTGTGTGTGTGTGTGTGTGTGTGTTCATGTGCTTTCCCCTTAAAACACCGTGTGTGCAGTCACGTGACTCCGCCCCGTCCAGTCCTGCTCAGCCTTCAGACCGGAGAATGAAGCACAGGGAGATGTTAGCCAGTGCTAACCGCTTTCCAGCAGTTGTGGAAACAACAGACAGACTTTTTATTAACAGACACATTGTGCCCCACTCTGCCAGACTGACAACTTATTACTTGCTGCTTTCAGCGTCACTTTGTTGCTCTCTCTCATTCGCTCCTCCACTCACTCGCTACGCAAACACATTGCACTGCAATAAAAAAAGACCTGTCACATAGATGTCCTTTGATGAAGGAGAAGAAGAAGCTAGCAAAGCGTGATTTACCCTGCTCACACAGTGTGCGGGTGAAAACCATTTGTTCCACATTGATATTAAATAACTGAGTGAAAGTGTAGTAGCAGGTCATAATTCAGCTGTGGCGATGCGCCGAAAATAGGGGAACCATGTCTCTGTAATGTGCACTCAACATTACCTTATTAATTAACATTTAGGTAATGGATTTGTGAAATCTGTGAATAGTAAATAAACCCAGCTTTAATAGTTGAGCATATAAACTTTGTCAGTGAAATGTGAGGGGGGGACAAAATTCAAAAACAAAATAATCGTTCAGTAATCGAGGAGAAATGTTCAATTACCGGTAATCCTGATTTTGATTTTAGGTGAAATCGTCCAGTCCTACAGTTAGTCTACATTATTTAAGCTTGATTTGTTGTTTTCAGCCACTGGAGTGCGAAACACTAGCTCTGTTCAATTCTTTCTTTCAGCGTGTTTTGTGTTTTTACTGCTTCCTTTGGCTAAAGAAAGAGTAAAGGGAAAAAAAATTCATTATTTGGTGTGTAAAGACATATTAAAGGACATGTAGTAATTTTGTAAGATGGAGCACCTGCAGTTGGCAGCAAGCATCCCAGACACAGAAAACAGGTGACAGAGGCGACTTCGGTGTTTGAACTGGATTCATGGCCCCCAGTCTTTGGTCCCGTTAATAGGAAGCAGACTGTGACCTCTCGCCACAGGGTGCTTTATGTATGTGAGTGGTAAGCAGTTTAGTTGAAGAACATTTTACTCCTCCTGGACTGTTTGAGCTATTTTGGGAGAGGTAAACCTGTCTGCATTTTACCGATTCAACATAACCCTTTTTCTTATATCTTACCGTACTAATCATCATGTGACCCCTTAGGTTTGTCTCGTGACTCATTGTGGGGGTCCCAACCCTGGTTTGGGGAGCGCTGTGCTGGACGACAATAACTGTCAAAAAATGTGTTTGTCCAAATTAGTCTGACCATGTCTGTAAATTGGTTGCAGCGCCAATAGAATAAGATCAGATAATATAATTAGTAACTGCACTGGTTTGATGAATTTCCGGGTTGAGATGTCATTGGCTGTTATGGGATATGTATATGGGATTCTCACAGTTTACTGAAAATTGCAACATGAGTATGTTAAGGTAGGTAAGAGATTTATACATATTGTCCAGCCACATACAGTTATATTATATTTTCCAACTCCATGTGTCCGTCTGTCCCTGCAGTGACCTTTAACAGACCGCTGCTCCTATTTTCTAACTAGTATCAGGCCTGTTTCTCTAGTTGCTACATTAAAAGTGCAAAATTATTATTTGTATAACTTTGCAGTGGTGATGCCCTCTATGTGGAGAGTCATTTTACACTCACTTGACAGTGCTTTTCCCATACAAAGTGTTAATTGTGAGACCTTGTTAAGCTGATTCAGCATAGTGTGACGTGCCTGCACAGCTTGCTTTTCTAATCAGTATTTTGCCTCTTACAAGCCTTAAAGTTGTTTTTCTGGCCCCACGCTGCAGTCGGACGTCTCGCTCGGTCTGGTCCAAGAGTGTTCGTGAGAGTCAGCTGTGACCGGCATGCTGAAATGACTGACAATTGACAAAACGCCAGCCACTATGCACTCCTCCATTCGCTGTGTGAATAACCGAGCTTTAGAAGGCATGACTCGGCCAGGGTAATATATGCATTAAAACTCTTGCAAAGAAATCACAGGATCCACTAGCGTTGGGAACAGTGGGTTGCCATAGAAATTACAAGTGCTGAAGTTTTCCCCTTAGCAACAGTGGATTGAAAATAGACTGTATCTGTCCAGCAGGGGCACGGCTGTAGGCTAAGAGACTGGGTTTAAACTTGATTTGAATGTTTTGAGCGTCTTAGATTCCTGGTAAGGAGTAGGGATGTTAGACAATGATGTGTAGCAACTCAGTATGGGTTTTTTACTGAACGCTGTTTAAGACATCTTCCAACGTTGAGAGTTGATATTCAGCCTTTGTGTAAGCACCTCTCGTATAGTGCTCTTGTCCCTCAACTGCATCACTGGTTAAATTGGAATCACTGACATTTCTAGGCCAGCGATGTGGGCCATTTGTATTTGCAGCAAAGTCGCAACATCCATTTGTGAGACATCTGCCACCGCTGGCAGACGTGACCTAAACTGCTCATCCAAGGAAACAGTCACTTACAGAGTGGATTAAGTTGTGAGGCTGCAGTAAGGCTGCGGAAAGGCTCTTGTTAGATTCCATGTTTGACGTGCGTTGCCACCAGGTTGTTATTGTTCTGGTTTAGAGATCATTCATGCCCTTCCAAGGAAACTGTGTCAATGAAGGGAAAGAACTGGAAATATAGGCTTCAGTGCACAGACACAGACATTACATATTGGTGGCTTTGTAAAAATTTGAAGCAACTGAAATATCACACATTAGGCCAGTAAAATGGTTGAGTTTTGATTTCATTCTTTTACGGAGGTTGTAATATTTACAGTGATTGTTGTAATTCTTTTCATTATCAATGGATCGGCAGAGAAATTGATAATGAAAATGACCGAGAGTTGCAGCCACTAAGGTCTAAAAGTCTGAAAATGCAGACGCTTCAATGAATTCCTGGACGGCCTGAAGGACGTGTGCCTATTTCTGGCACCAGCCTTTTACCAGCCACACCACATAATCACTGAAATGCATCAACTGCTCGCCCTTGTAAGAGCTATTGATTTATTGCAACAACAATAAGTACCATCACAGGCTGAGATTCTGTGTCCCTCTTGTTAAAACAGATGCTTGCTTGGCGTCGCTCCTCCTATAAGCTAGTTCAGGGCAGCCACAGCAGAACCGACGAGGTAAAGGCAGGATTCAGTTCCCGCCACTGTTTACGCCTCAGCCATGTAATTTAGTTCCTCTTGGAAAAAGGTCTTTAGCTTAGTGAGCTAAAGAGTCTTAGCTTGCTCTGCCAAGGTTAAGAGCCTCTCAGGAAAACCTACAATATGAAATCTGCAATTAGTGTCCTTTGCTAATGACATGCTGAGTGTAAAGCATGGATTCTGACTTTTATGCATGCATTACACTCCTGGGGAAAACTGTGCACACGTGTGTCACTTATAGATTTTTCATGCAATGAAGCTTTTTATATCAGCATGATAAATTAGTAGTTGCTCGTTTGGAAGTATGAGGAACGTCTTTGGCAATAATTGGACACCATAAAAATAAAACTCGCTGCTGCTGCTGGACATTTTATCTTGGTTTGTACGAGCAGATGCTTTGCTTTACTCATTATCTATGCAAGGGAGTGGGATGGCAGGCCGCCCCAGCAAGAATTCATCCCAGCAGCAGAAGCAGCTGAAGAGGGCAGTCCAGAGCTCAGCCTGCCTCGCACCCTGTGATGGGAAGTTTCACACTGTCAGCCCACGGTCACGATCGGCTGGAGAACAGCAACTGCTCGCTTCTTTCCTGGACGGCCGCACTTGACAGACATCATCCTCTCTGATCTCAGATCAGAGCTCTCATGTAGCAGCTTCTCAGCGGCTGGCAGGCACTCAGCTACTCGGCAAGAGTGGAGAACATTTCTCTGGCACTAAATTCCTCCTTTGTCTCATAATCCACCTCCTGTTTTTATTTGTTGGGAGGAAGAAAAGCAGCCGGTAGTTTGTACATAATAGGAAATTTCATATGTGAGGACTGGGCTTTAGAGATATCCATGCGCTGACGGCCTGTGTGACAACCGTCTCCATCAGTTTCACATCTTCCGCCAGACGTAGCTCACTTAGGCTGCTTGGTGCACGTGGCGTGTGAAATTTCACCCTGCGAAATGTTGATGGGCAGTAACATTAAAAAGATCTCAGCCAGAGGGGAGCAGTAAACAAGTCGCCTGCAGGAAGCTGTCACTCAAGGTGACTCTCTTTGTGAGCACAGGCATCCGGTTTGACAAAATGTCAACACATAATTAGCTTTGTAATCAAAGCTGTGACATGTTATTAAATCCACACAAATGTATTTTCATTGTAAAGTGCAGAAAAACAAGCAGAAATGTCAAGGACCTTGTTTCTCGGGAGTGGAACTGTGATTAGTTCATTAGTAGCATCTAGATGTGGGTGCAGAGTTCTGCTTATGGACTGAAGTGTAAATATGCCATTTAAGAGCTTTGCCACTTCTGGGCCAGTTATTCCCACAAGTGATCGCTAACTTGTAATCGATGAATCTTGAGTGATGATTCCCCTTTCAGGCAGTGAAATGAAACACACCACCTTTTGGGACTATTTTCAGAGTGGGCACACTGATGCAGTATCTCCTTTAATAAAATAAAGTCACCCAAATGACCTTGTCTTTTAGGCTCAGAGCTTGATGAATTACTCTACTGGTTCAATTTCTGGAAGTGTGTAAGGCCAGCGTGCACAGGTATGTCATTACAAAAAGTTACAAACAATGGAAAATAGTAATTTTTCCCAGAAACATTTTGCAGCCCTTAATTCAAAATATTTAAAAAACACTTCCAAGTGTATTACAGATCTAAATATCCCTCTCTCACTCCATTTAATTACTAAGCATGTATGTTTCAGGCTGTTGTAATACCCCAGCTTGAATTCATGCCTTGCTCTCACCTTTTCTGTTCTTTATGTAGTAGCACCACTTTTTCAAAAACTGCAGAATTACACAGCCATGCCTTTTAGCCCAGAGTCATTTTAGTGCTGCTTGCAAGGTAATAACCACTTACAATGTATGATAGCCTCAGTGGAGTGGATATATTCTTGATAGCCAGCTAACATAAAGGCTCCTCTGTGTGTGGTTTGTGTGTTTTTGTGTGTGTGTGTTTTTTTTGTTTGTTTGTTTGTTTTTTTTTCCAGATTACCCAGGAGCAGTTTATCCTCGCATCCCAATCTCTGCACCTCCAGCGACCGGGCTGTGATGCCGTGTACCCGGTGGGCCTGTACGGCTGGAGGAAAAGATGCCTGTATTTCTTCCTCCTGCTGCTGCTGGTCACCATGATAGTTAACCTGGCCCTCACTGTCTGGATCATGAAGGTCATGAATTTCTCAGCGGTGAGTACAGCATGCCATCGTCCAAAATAACTTGTATTTAATAATGTTTAATAACTTCTAGTGAATTGAAGTGAGCCAACAGTTGTTCTACCCAGTTTATGAAAGACATGATGTTCTTCATAACTCCTGGAAAAAGCTCCAATAAAGGGCTGCAATTACTTTTTCAGCCCTTTATTGGAGCAACGTTATCATGTAAGTTCTTCATTATTTTTCAATTAAATGATTAACTGTTTTTGTCTATTAAATATAGGGCTGCAACTAACAATTATTTTCATTATCGATTAATCTGTCAGTTATTTCCTCGGTTAATTGATTAGTCGTTAGGTGCAGGAAATGGTGGAAAATGTTGATCAGTGTTTCCCGTCCTCAAATGTCTTGGGGTTTTTTTCCACAAAAAAACATCTGGAAATATTCACGTTTGAGAAGCTGGAATCAGAGAATTTGGATGTTTTTTTTTCTTTAAAAAAAAAAAAAAAAGAACTCCAAAGCAATTAATCGATTATCAAAATAACTGATAGTTTAGATTAGTTTACTATGAAACAAACGTTTGAGAGGCTGGAGCTTGTAATTGGCATTTTTGCTTCATATCAGTCAGCCAATTATCAAAATTGTGATTCATTTTTCAACACTTTTTTTTTTGTACAATTTTTAAAGAGACTTACTTATTACGGGGAAACTTAATGATCAGTTTGGTAATTCCTACTAAAGTCTTATAGACTTTACCAGACTTAACATTTATTAAAATGTAATCATAAGCTTAGAAATTTGGTAATGTACGTATTTGGCATTCAGTGCACAGCAGGACTTGATATCAAATGAAATGTTAATAGAGAAAAACAATCAGCCTTATACTGTGTTCTCAGAAAATATAAACAGAATGATGAAAATGAGGTAAAATTACAGACAACGTAGAGCATTTAGTCTCAATGCTGGGACATAAATAATGACAATGTCACTCTGTTACGTTGCATGGTGTTCTGTCTCAGAGATTAAGGGAGAGTTTGTCAACTAACTAGCGATTTTACTGTACTTCTTTCTTTTGACCTCAATATAAAGCCTTTAGTGTGAGAATTTTCATCATGCAGGCCCATTTGAAATGTGGCACCATCTCTCCTGCTGTGTGCTTTTGTCTTATCTGGATTTGATAAAGAATTAGAAAAGACTTGGCAGCGGAACCGGCTGACACGAAATGTGTTAATCTCATACGAAAACCAACCAGGCACATAAGGGGAGCACCTGTGACATTTCCAGGGACAATGCACACAATTTACCATTTTGTCAACAAACCTGCGATGGCAGCATCCCCCCTCTGTGACGGATGTGTCCCCTGACTATTGCTATCACTCCTCTATACTCCTTTGCCTCCCATCAGTCTGTGTCATGAGTAAAAGACCTTATCAGGGCTGTTGATGTCGCTCCAGAAAATGTGCTTCGCTGCTCCCCATCTCTCAGGACTCAATAAGAAAGCACGTGCCAAGCTACACCCCGTTGTATTGGTATTAGTCAGTTTTGATGGCATGAGAGCATTGTTTCCTAGTTCAAAGCTTGCCACTAAAAAAAGCTGAAGTTGAAGCTACAGCGTTTGAGATACACCAACCATTAACTCCTGATTATTGGTCAAGCTTCACAAATGCTGGATCCTACACCTACCACACTGCAACTAATAGCATCTTTTGTTATGTTATTGTTAGACCCTCCCGGTCCGGTAAATTGCCTCTTTCACATCGTAATTTAACTAATTACGAGCAACCAAGTAGGGAAAAGTACGTTCATGTGAGCTTCCACCAAATAAGTCGGCATTATCTGGGATTTCTGACACAGATGATATCTGCTGGGTGAGAAGAACTACAGACTGGCAGTACATGCACCCAAATCAGAATTAATTTTAGTGCCACCACTGCTGGCATCAAAATAAAATCTTATATTAACACTATATAGCTATACATTGTTTGTGTGTAGCTGGTTTCACTTGGTAATGAACTTCTACAAATACATAGCACAACAGAAGTGGCTTATTTAGGCTACTTATCTGGTGTGGCTACAAGGTTAGCACAAGGGCTAACCTCCTTGGAATAATCAATGAACCCTCCCAAGTCAGAATAAGGGTTGTTATTCGTGATCGTCTCATTCTGCCAACATTGTGTGAATTATCAATTAATTAATTAAAAGTCCCCAGGGTTATTTTCTCAGACTTTAGAAAGTTCCTCCAGAGCCACAAAAGACGTAACACAACAGTTTTTTTACAGGCTGAATAGTAGCCCCCATAACCAGTAAACTGTGTCACATCAGTGAAGGTCCGCTTTAAATTCGTCTCTTTCATATGTATGGCTTTAAGAAAGACCTTTAAGAGAAATCTAAGTCATCAGAGTACAAATATATATAGTTGTCCTTTTAAAAATTTATGGAAATGTGTTTTTGAGAGATATTGCAAAAAGTAATCGTGACCACATACTTGTTTTTGGCAGCATTAATAAACATGGAATGCATATTAAGTGCTACCTCCACTGCTAATTCTCGCTGGTATGTGACTCATTCCTTCTTGACTTCATCACTGGTCTGAAAGATCTGTACTGGGTTGCACCAACTATGTGTAAGTTCAAACTTAGCCTAGTTTGAACGTAATTTCTAACTTAAGTTTTATGTGCTAACGTTTTAAGGGTTGCACCAGCTGAAATACGTCCAACGTAGACATAAGTTACAACTTAAATCTTACACCTAGTCCTTAATAGGTGTAAAGTCCTCCATAAAATAGTCAAGTGGTTGTCATGGTGCATCGTTTTGAAAGGTGGGGAGACTGGGATCAGGAGGAGCAAATTATACCGGGCTCTTCTGCGTAACCGAGCGCACACAGCCTGGATCACAGCTCATTTCGGTTAATGAAGCAAAATGCAGATCACAGACTGGTTAAGTTATGAAGTTTATGAATTGAAAATGTAGCGAAATTAAGAGTAGATTACTAGCCCAAAGAAAATATTGGATTAAAGAGTAAAAATATAAATAATAAAGGAACGTGAAAAGGCAATGACTTATTTTTATTTATTTATTTTGGCAAATTTGCGTTACTTGTAACAAGTTACTCCCCACCCTGCTGCAGGTGCCCTCACTGCTGTCTTCAGGTAGGTTGTAATAACAGCAGCACAGAAGAAAAGTCTGTAATATTGAGGCACTTAGCTGCCTTCAGCAAACTCGTATTTTTTCTCCCTTAACTTTTCAGCATCTCCTTTTGCGTTGTCGGATGTTTTCTATAGGCCTAACTTACGCAATTTTTTTCCCGTGTTTCAACAGTTTAATTATGTCTGATGTGGAGTGATTGATTGACTAGCCACTCATAGTAAAGCTTCTCGCCTAGCCAACTCTGAAATCACCAGAGGAAGGGGGGGGGGGGCAAAACATAGATTTTGAAATATGAGGGGCATAATGGCTCCTACGCATATATAAGTTATAATACAATTTCATCTGCCCGTTATACTTTACCGTTCGTTACGGGCACCGTTAAATTACGTCTATGTTGTAGTTAACGGTTTTACCACTCGATGTCACTGAGACTAGCTGTAGATTAAGGTTTCATAGTTATCACCTAATCATAATTATTTCCTTGTATAGGTCCCTTTTTGTTGGTTTGTTGCTATTTTTAGCCGTTAGCCTCTTCAGTATTGCAAACGTTGAAAGAGTGAGAGACAAACAGATGACAAAACTGTAATAAACTCTGTTAGGAATAGTGCTGTTGACTGATTGGCTACGGGATGCATAAACGTCATTTTCTGCGACACTGTTTTGATTAGTATGGACTTTACGCCAGTGTAGCTAAGATGCACCTTACGTCTCGTTGGTGCAACCAAATTGTTTAGTGTGGACTTTGCACCCTAACTTAAGGTAGAACTTAAGTATTGCTGGTGCAACAGGCTGCTGGTCTGCACTGGATCAAAATGTAGCAGTAGACTTACACAGCCCACCTGCGAAAAGGTAGAGCCGCATCATCAGCAGCATGTCTGCCTGCTCGTTAAGCACAACGGGGTAACCTCGGGTGTTGTCTTTGTTTCTACACCTTTCTTCCAAACCTCCCTTCCAGCTGTCGTTTTTTTTCCACTTGAGAAACATCGTCTGTATCTGTTGGTTTCTGTCTTTCACTGGTGCTGAGGAACTCATCCCGGCCTTCAGTGCGTCACGACTGGACTGTTGTAACGCCCTCCTGTTTGTCCTGCCTCACACCTACTCGTCTGACTGACTTGCAGCTTGTACTGAACTCTTCACACCCACCACATTGCTTCTGCTTCGGCACAGTAGTGACTTTTAACGTCTAGCTGCTGACACACAAAGAGCTCCACGCAGCCCAACCCACCTCCTCCAGTCCTTTGTCCTCCTGTCTGTGCCCAGTCCTGGCTCTCTACCATGTATGATGGAGCTCTCCTCGCTGTACTCCACCTCTATAATTCAGTATCTGCATCCATTTGCGCTGCTAGCACTATGGACTCCTTCAGACACATTCCTCATGGACCATCTGTTCACACACATCTTCACGAAGCTGCTGTCAAACACTTTTAAAAAACCTTGTCCACATTGTACCGAATAATCTACCACCCAAATTAGGTTCTGTATAATATAAATGTGAGGTGAATAATATGTGGAAGTTTGCAGAATCATGCTTCATTTTTTTAAAAAGTGAGGGATCAATCTGAAATGTAAACGCAGGCTATTAGCTTTTAAAAGAAAGGCAGCCTGATTTAACAGGACCTTACGCGGGAAGGTTGAAAATTTGTGGTGACTTACTTGTTGGGTTTTTTAGTTACACATACACGCACTAAAGATGTGTAATTTTCCAGAAAGTTTCTAGTGCTCATTTTGTGAGAGATTTAAATATAATTTTTTATTATATACAATACAAGCGAAACATTTTTTTTTTTTTTTGTTAACAGTGGCTCAGTTCCATGAAGTGTCTCAGTGAGCCATTATTATAAAATAGCTCATGTAAATGGAATGCAGTCGTTTAAATGTTATCAATTACATGTTACACTTTTCCTGCTATGACGTGCCAAAACGTCTGCTGTGAGAAAGATGTACTGACGTTGTTCACGAGTGCAGAGTGCCAAAAAACACCTAGCAGAGTGAGCCAGGTTTCCAGACTACAATTTGGGGAAAACTCTGCTCATAAGTCATTAAAGGACCCCGCTAACGCAAGTTGTGTCCCATATGCTACAAATCAGAACTAGAAACCATGCTGCTGTTTTGTGTTTTTTTTTGTTTTTTTTTTTTACAAATTTGCATTTATTTTTCCTGCTGTCCAGGCAGCCATTGCCTTCCATTCATGTCTACAATATGAAAATAAAGTAGACTCTTAACACTTGCTTGAGTTGTGCAATTCATTGCAGTGAACTGAAGCCTGCATTAACTTTTGTCAGTTACATTAAAATTATGAGGTCATTCTCTGCATCCATCCATAATGAAAAGCAATGTTAGGAAACATTTGTCCAAAAATCTAAAACTACAGCCTGCATTCAGATATTTGTTGTTAAGGAACTAAAAGACTGAAAACATTCTGGTATAGTCCTTTTTAAGGCTGGCTTGCGCAAGGTGGATTTAATCAGGATTTTATCAACTCTTTCTTTCCCAATATCACTTCTGATACCCCACCTCGAGGTAGCACCACAAATGGAGTCGGCGGCCTGACAGAGCTAAAACAACTGACTGTGGAAACACTGAGATTTATGATGACATTGATGAGAAAACTGTTTAACGTGGATTGGCTCTGAAATCTAACTGACAGATGGAATCAGTGCATTCCTACATTTAGTCCCTTTTGTTTATATGCTCACTGCTTTTAGAGAGCTCTGGCCTCCATTATTATGCTATTGTGGGGAAAAAAAATTTTTAATTACTACAACTACTATCACCACCACTAATAACTATATTAATGTGTACATCAGCGCTAAGCCAACTCATGTAAATGTGAGTGACCGTCTTCTTTTGTCATTTTTATGAGTCTCCTCAACATTCACATCCGCAGCTGCCACATTAGCCTGGTTCTCCTCAGTCAGCCTCCCACTGCATGCAGCCTGTCACCCTGACACCACTGAGTGTCTGTGGCATTGTCACCTCCGGTGTCATGTCCTAACTTCTTCCCTGTCACTCAGCTCCGCTGCCTGTCGAACCGGCCCGTCTGGCAAGCATCAGATTTTGCTCTTCCCTAATGCAGTTCAGTGACAGCAGGATTCCATTTTTTTCATGCATTTGGGAAGCTATAATTTTATTGACTCAAACCAGGAAAATCGGCACTGCTCATCACAACATCACTGATGATCATGGTTGTATTTCAGGATGGAATGGGAAAACTTCAGTTGAATCAGGATGGGATTCGCCTGGAGGGAATCTCTGAGTTCCTCCTGCCTCTCTACGTGAATGAGATCCAGTCCAGAAGGGTAAGTTGCTCCCTTTGCTCTCTCCCCTCAAGAACTAAAGCTTTCCTTTTGATCAATACTCTGTAGCACTGATGAACTAGGAATAACTACCATCGACTGAAACGCACGTGAAAAGCTCTCCAAAGCAGCAGAGAAGCTGGTATTGATCTCCCAGTGTTGAGGAAGTTATGATCTATTCATTAACAACAAAGGCCAACTTCCCTCTGACTTGACAATTCTTTGATGTTACCTTATTTTTGTGCCTGGATGGGAGAGATTACACTCTTTCTCTCTCTCCTCCTCCTCCTCATTTCCTGTCATCCTCCAACAGTGCACTATCAGGGCCTCCCATCGGCAGGAGATGGGTAATAGGCTGCCTCTCGGCTCCTCTCAGGCCACATACAACCCTACAGGAGATTACAGACGATTACAGAGGGACCAGAGTCCCCCTGCTGGATTTCCAATCAAGCCCACACGATAAATTCCCCTCTTCCACTTCCTCCCTCCCGTTTCTCCTCTTTGATGTTTAGTAGATTAACCAACACAGCTCCAGTGCAAAGTTGATCCAAATTTCCTTCTCCCACACGAATAGCAGACGCTCAGTTGGATCATCCCCTTTTTCAGTGATTAGGCATGGTGCACAAAGTAATTTCAAGCACTGGAAGCTGGGGTTCCATGCAAATTTGGTTTTTGAGGGCCGTCAATGGAGGAAGTGCCTCGATAGTGGGTACAATTTGCCACAGCAGATTGGGGAAACAACTTGAAATTGCCCACTCTCGCGCTTTGATGTTGTAGTCGCAGCTGAATGTTGATTCAAATATAACAGCGTTGCATTGTTAGAAATAGCAAACACCTCAAGGCCAGGCCGAACACTGGACAAAGCCAATATTTCTTTCCCTGTTGCAATACCACCTGCAGACATTTTTACTGTCTTGTTTTACAGACGTGCTGTGCAGTGGCCCCCTTATCTGCCGGCACCAGAGATATTTGCAGGACAAAAATCTCTGTGGGTCACTCGATATTTCTCACCTGAGGAAATATGTCAAGCACTGCGAGAGCGAGGATTATGGTTATCCAATGAGTTTACACCACAGTGCACAGTGCTGTTCTTCTGTCAGATAACCAACATTGATCAATAAGCCATTACCACAAACAGCAGTGACCTCTGTAGTGCACCACATATATCTTAAAGTTAAATATACTGTGATTATTTTTTATGTGTTCCCAGAGCCCAAGCTGCTGTCGAACTTTAGGATTACTTCTCATGGATCAATCAGTGCTTCGAGTCTTCATCAATGAAGCTATAATCTGTGAATACCAAGTGGAAATGGCTCCCTCAGTGTTTTTGGCAGGAACTCGGATAGCTGGCAGCAAATTACAGGCTAAGTAGCCCCTTAAGTCAGCGCTCTCAGTAGCATGTTGTGAAATGAGAGCCGGTAACTTTGCACATACAAAAAAACTCACATACAACAAATGTATTCTGTGGAGTTTTGCAGATACTATAACAGAGTGTAAAAATAAGGAGTTTGTTTTCCGTCCTGCAGGCCACACTTTATCTGCACAGGCATTCTGTTCTTATGACGCATATAATCTATTTGCTGTCATAATTCTGTATTACAGATCAATTTTGTATTGATATTTGGCAATAATGTTGTATTTTCAACTCAATACAACTTTATCGCCGCAAGGGGCGGTTGTGTGCAGCATTTCACCACCCACGTCAACAAACATACACAATAAAAAGGCAGGGTAGCAAAAGACACAAAGCCAAAAACAATCCAAGGCTTTAAGCTTGAAAACAATGTGACACATGTAATAAATACATAATAAATGTAAATATCCCAAAATTTAAAAAACAACAAAGTAATAAAGTCAAATGGTGAAATCCTGTTATATTAATGTCCAAATTTTTGATTCTGACCTCATTATAATTGTATTTAAAACAAATTTCCCTTCATATGTCTTAGTTGTTGTCATGATCATGGAGCATTACTTGAAATTTTTCTATACTATTGGCAATACAATACCCACGTTTAATAACCAATTATACCCAAATTATACTTGATATTGATACTTAATGATGCCCTAATCAAGAAAATGTATAATAACAATGGATCAAATTACTATATGTATGTGAAAGGGGTCGCTTGTTGTGACGAACCCAGTTCCCCTCAACCCTACAGAGGTTTAGCATATTTGAGCTCATTGTTTGGTTTTACAGCCCACACCTTTTACAGCTTTGGTTCATCACCCTCATTGGCTTTGTTTCCAGCAGCCGCATCAGGAAGCTGTTTTCAGGCAAAACACTGGACAAATCCCCCTGCACGCTGGAGACCCAAGCTATCAACTAGCTGGTAAACATAATTGGACATTTAGCAGCTAAAGAGCCAGATATTTCCCTCAGGACTTGGTCAGGACCAAAATAAGAGGAGTGAACAATTGATTTACAATTGCCAAGTGGCCAGAAACAGGACTCCAAATGAATGTTGCTCTGTATCTGCTGGATATGTAAATACACTGTTATAAGTTATCCCATATACATTTAATAAGGTAATAACATGTCAACATTGTGTTGCAGCAAGTGGTTAAAAAACCCCAACTAATAGTGGTTTAACTAACATGTTTTTCTATTTTCCCATTTTCCATTAAACTCCAGTGAGCATCATTGTTTAATGCTGTCGTAACACAAAGTTGCTGTATAACAGCTTTAATTAAATAAAATACAATCTAAAATGAGCAAAATTATTTATTTATTCATATATTTACTATCTGAATATCTTTTCATACATTTTCTGTGTGCGTGGCATGGAGGGGCTAAAACTGCAAACTGCATTTCATTATGGAAAATCCTATTGTATCAAAAACCCTGAATCCTTGAAATCTGACTAAGAATCAAACTGTCAGTTTTTAGCACTGAACGATTTTTGATGCCACAGACCTAATCATTATACACTGTAAGGATATCAAAAACAAACAAACATCAGAATATGGTTATAAATGATATGCCAGCACTAGCATGTATTATACAGACTATTCACAGGGTTATATCATTTGTGGCACACTGTATTGTCCAGATTATGGTGGCAAAGTGCAGGCTCCATTGCCTTTAGTATTGACGCCTGCTGTGCATCGCAGTGCGCAAATCCAGGCGCCGACAAGTGCCTCTCCAAGCAGCTGATTTGGTAACCGTGTGCCAAATGAAATTGCAAGTGCGGAGTTGATTTGAAATACTTTATTAGAGCCCCATTGTTGCCTTCACATCTGAAATGAAGGGCATTGTGTGGCAAGTGTATATTACAGACACTCAATATTATGATCGTTTTAATATGTGTGACTAATGTTGGCCTCTTTCTGCAGAAGCTTTCAGTTATACCTGTGCTGAGCTGACTGTCAAACCTGACGGGCAGATGGAGAGATGGAATATTCTGTATATTATTTTTTCCTCGCCCTGTGGGCTTCCCCTATGCATGTCTGTCTATCCATCCATTCGCCTGTCAGCTTTTACAGCTGGTACAGTGCAAAACATTTGAATTATATGGCAAAAAGATTCCACATGACGACCTTTTGATATCAAAACTCTGAAATCCAGTTTTTTACACTAGACCTGTGAAAGCCACAATGTTGCTATAATTTCAGGCATGTGAAATCAGTTCGTCACTTGAAATTTCACCCATCTGAAAGCAACAGTGTGGCTGTAATTTCAGGTTTAAAATCTGCGACCTACTTGAAATTTCACTTCTCAGAGAAACATTGCATTCATAACTTTAAGTGTTTGTGAAACCAAATGTCTAGGTAGCCATTTCTTACCGCTTTCCACTTTTCCGTAAACTGGGTGGATCAAAAAATGCTTGTTCAAAGACAAATATGTTGTCTGTGAGCGTTCAGTGTGGCTGTTGGCAGAACATTTTGGTTTCTGGCAAACTGTAAAACTGTTAGCTTCAGATGTTAGGTTTCTATCCAACTTCATGTGTTACTACTCTGCTAATGTTATAGAAAGTTTTATCTGAGTGTTTTTACCAGAACCACTAAGTGTATTTATATATAATTGTTACGACTATGCTTCTGTTTTGGTCAAGAGTTAAATGTAAGATAAATGATTCAATACACAATATTTCTTTTTACAAAAGCCAATTTCAAATATTGAGCTAATGCATTGTTCTGATTTCTGGTAGATTTTCTGCAAACACTAGAAAGGAATGCACAAAGAAGACAAGTCTTGGGTTTAGTTATTTGTCTTGAAATAGCTCCTGTTTTTCACATGCATTAGGGTAATCATGTCTGCTGCAGCTTAAGGACAACAGAGGTCAAATTAGATTTGATGAGCAGCAGTGATCTGTCTTGAGTGGTCAGTCCACTCAGATTTGTAGTTTTTAGTGTTTTGTAAATGGATGTATTCCAGTGAATTTCAATCATGGACCGCTGAGATGCAGTCATTTTATTTATGTTAAGAACTACAAGAGCTGATTTCACTGATTAGTTCCTCCTCTCTTCTTGAATGTGTTCAGAGAAGCAAATCAGCTGCGAGCTGGAGTGTTTAGCCTGCAGCCTTGGCTCTTGATTCAAATGCACATGGTTAAAGCCCACTGATGCAAACAGTAGGAGGACATAAAGGGAGGCAGAAGACCGGGGATGTGCAATAGCTATGATTTCTGCACATCTAAGTCTCCATTTCTATGGCAAAATGCCTGGATTTCAGTGACCAGCTTCAGCTTCTAGGAACATTGCTGACTTTCACACCATTACGACGATACTACAGAGGTCGTATTTGACCTTTTAAAAAAATAAATAAATAAAAAATAAAAACAACGTATAAAAGCCTCCCTAAATAATAAAGAATCCTTGCAAATTATAATAAAGCCTGTGATGAACACAAGGTGTAAATTGTCATAAATAGGCATTGTTTTAATAGAAGATTAGGGCCACGTGATTATCTTTAACATTTAACTCTTTAATGTTAATGTCTTAAATTGCATATTTTCTTTGAATTCTTTAAATTAACTCTCCGTCTCACTCTGAAAAGC